GACATCAGTGATGAGTCATTGATGGGCTGCCTCCTGCACGCCCCCGACTGGGGAAGGAGCCCGAAACCCGGGCATGTGCCCTGACCAGGAACCGAACCTCGATCTCCTGGATCCTAGGTCGATGCTCAACCACTGAGCCATGACCGGACGGGCACCCCCATTGTTTTAAAATCATTTAGCTGTACATCTTAGCAGAGTATAAACTCAAGATATATCCTTACTAACCTATATATTCTCAGCACCTAGTACAGGCCTGGCACATAGAAGGTGTGTTAGCTTTCTAGGGCTGCCATAACAAGATACCACAGTCTGGATGGCTTAAACAACACATTCATTTTCTCAGTTCTGGAGGCTAGAAGTCCAAGATCAAGGTGTTGGCAAGTTTGGTGTCTGAGGCCTCTCTCTGCTTGTAGATGGCCACCTTTTCACTGTATCCTCACGTGGTTTTTCCTCTGCATTCGCATATGTGTGTAATCTGTTATAAAGAGTCACGTTGGGTTAGCGCCAACTCACATGATGTCATTTAACCTTAATTACTTTTTTAAGGGTCCATCCAAATACAGTAAAATTCTGAGATACTGGAGGTTAGAGCTTCAACACACAAGTTTCGGGGTGGGGAGGGCACACTTTACCCGTGACAGAAGGCATTCAATAAATATGTGCTGGATGAGTGAAAAATTTCTTGACCCATTTCAAGAGCTATGGAGCTCTACTGGACCGCCTCTGTCTCCTCAGCCCCATTCTTTGGCTTGCTTCTAATTAGTCACAGCCATTCAGCAAGTTCTGAAGCTTCTGGCTGCGATGGAAACAGCTCCAAGCTGAGAGGAAGGGTGTTCAGTATTTGGGAGGCCTGGAGGTGACTCTTCTCAGGGTATGTCTCTTTGGATCAGTAATTCTCATTTTGCAGGTAACCTTGGGAGTGGCAAGTATCTCAAGTTTTACAAGAACATTATTGGTTGCAATTTAAAAAAAGGAAAGAAAATGTTTCTAGTATCCTCCCCTATTTAATGAATTGATCGAATTAGTGATATATTCATTAAGTTTCAAGATTCAAAATGTGTATAAGAGCACACAGTAAAAATCCTCCCTCCTACTCCAGTCCCAGGAACGCAGCTCCCCAAAACCAATCTTAGCGGTTTCTAAGGTATTTTTCCAGAGATATTTTAGGTATATACTTAACAGCGTCAATAGGTTCTGTGACTTTAAGCAAAACAATGTATAATGGAACAAATTTTACCGCAGGCTAATGGATATAAACATGGTTAAGTTCTTGAGGCATCTCAGCAATGTTACAATGAAATGACATTGGACAAAAAGATGTTATTTGAGGACCTGCTATATAAGCAAATACACTTCTGTACACCATCATGTATAAAACACATGATGTTCTGCACCTTTTTTATTATGTTTATTATGAATATTATGAATAGTTTTAAATTATGAATTGCAAGTTCATTACAAATCCTGTTTTATCTGTGCCCATACCAACTATTCACCACTTATTCTGGTCTGCAGGGCTGACCCTAGGGGGACAAGATGCCTGGACGCCGATTAGGGAGGCACTCACTCGGGTTTAGTCACGACACGTAAGTGTGACTCCTTAAATTTTGCTCCTAAGGCTTGCCCCATCTGAGATCCAGTCTGGCTGGCTCCACTGGATTACCTTAAGGTAAATCTAAGCTGCAGCATAGCTGGCTTTTTGTCTTACTGTGTAGTGGATATAATTTCATACCAGAACGGAGCTGCTTCACTCCTGATGCGGTTGCACATAGTGTTACACTACATGAATATGCAATTACTGCGCTAGCCCCTGTTGACGGGCATTTAGGTTTCCTGTCTTGGTATTTCAAACAATAACACAATGATTGATTACATTATACCACACATGTAAGTTTATCTGTAGAATTAAATACCTACAAGTGGAGTTTAGTAATTGGCATTACCATCACTTTTTGAGCTTTGCCAATCTAATAGGAGAAAATGCTTTCTCCGTGTAGTATACTTTGCATTTGTCTTACAATGATTCAAGTTGGGCAGTGTTTCATATTTGAAGACCATTTGTATTTTCTTTGCTATGAACTGATCACATCCATTGTCAGTTTTTACTTTGGATCTTTATGTCAGATTAAAAATGACTACAAATTCTTCAACACACCTCCTGTCAAGAGGTGTGCTCTGTTTTTCACAGATTCTAGGAATCTGGCCTGGGTTATGAATACTATACGAGTCCAAGGCCTTTAAGGGCGGCTTGGGCCTTGGTTCATTAGAGCCCTGGGCTCACTCATATTAAAAAAGCGTACTATTCTGCCAGAGAGACCACGTGGTGAGGCCCTGAGGCTCCGAGGACATGGAGAGGGACCCAGCTGAGGCTAGCCTTCTGAATACCCATGCCAAGGGCTTAGATATGTCCTCTGGAGCAGAAAAAGCACCCAGCGGAGCCCTGTCCAAATTCTTCACTCTCAAAATTATGAATTATAACGAAAGTGATTGTCATTTTAAACTAAATTTTGGAATAGTTCTTACACAGCAATAGAGAACCAGAACAACATTAGGGGGACAGGAAGTAATGTAGTACTAAAATTAGTTAACCATTTGCTTTAGTGCAAATATATTTTTTCCTAGATCTTTTGACTTTGTTTATTATGGCTCTTTAGTCACATAAAACTTGATAAATTTTATATAATTGAATTGATCACATTTTCTTCTAAAAATCAGCTAGAGCATACAATTGAGGAAACTCATTTTTAAGGACAAGAGACATGAAATAGCTATGACTAAACTAGATAAAGTCGAAAGAAACTAAAAACGAAAGAAAACAAAAACTTCTCAAAGACTCAAAGGAAAACTTGAACAAATAGAAAGGCATCATGTATTTAGATTTTTTAAAATTAATTCTAAGTTGTTCTAGAGTTTAATGTAATCAGTAAAAATACCAAAAGGATTTTTTAAACTAGAGAAGCTAATTCTAAAGTTTGTGGGGAAAATAACCAAGAATAGCTAGGATAATTCTACCTACTTTTAGTCCTACCAAATAACAAAACATTTTAAAGCTATAATAATTTTAACGGTGATACTGGCCCATAAATAGACACAAAGATCAAATAAACAAAATACACACTATATACATACACACATACACTTATTATACTTATAAATGTATTTTAAGTTGAATGGGGAGCAATGAGTTATTTTTTTGTAATGATGATGGAAAACTGGACAGCCATCTAGAAATTACAAAGCTGTATCGGTTCCCGGATACACTGGGATACATTTTAGATTAAATCTCAATCAAAGATTTAAATGTAAAAAAGCAAAATCATTTTTTTAAAAAGCAAATCACTTGTGATGAGTTGTATAATCAGTCAAATGATCGGTTATAGGGATCAATCCCTAAAAGTTTAGAAATCGTGACTTCAGAAGTGGGAAAATGCAGAACAAGTGGCTAAGCGTCTCCGATGGACCCGCTGTGCCGCGTGTTCCCTCCACGCTGCCTTTGAATTCAGCAAATCGAACTCGTTTCCTCTCTCCGCCCAACATGACCCTCTATTGGGTTTGAGGTAGGAAAATTTCTTAAATAATATCCCATGCATATTCTAGCTCCCTCCAGTTTAAAAATCACTTTCATGTTCTTTGATCTCAACACCTGTATGAGGTCGGCATTAACATTATCCTCCAGCAGAAGACCTCAGTGAAGCAAGTTATGTTCCTGCCGCTCGCCACTCTCCCTTTAGACAAGTCCGTTCAGCTCTGAGCCTCAGTCTCCTCATCTATAAAATGGGTATTCCCATTCGAGGGAATTTCTGCCGAGCCACACCCAGGACGTGACATGGCCTAACGAAGCTCAGCTGCTCTCCTGTTGCCAGGACACGGTTGTGTTAGCACACTGAGGCCTTGGTGTGTGCACACAGACAGGCTGTGCACACGCGCTGCTTCCCTGAAACTTCAGCCCCCGAGGAAGGCCCGCTTTTATCTCCATTTTCGGAACAGCGAAGCCCAGGCGTGGCAAAGCTGCAGAACTGACCCTTGGCAGCTGGGTTTGGGCTGCTTGCCGCCCTGCCCTTTCCATCACAACGCTGCATCACACCTACATCCCGAGGAAACGGCTTTAGAAAAAGCACTAAGGCCCAGGTTTTGGCACCAAAAATAAGAAAAAAGGGGAAGGGGAAGGGCAAGCACTAAACCAACCCATTCTATAGAGAGAGGAAAGCAAAGGGACCATTTGGCTCTTTTTTTTTTTTTTAACCAATCCACTTTTTAATTTTAAAATTCTTGACATCACAGAACTAAACTGAAATTTATTAACATTCCACCCTTACATTTCTTATCGACAAACAGAAATAAAACTCATGAACCAAAAACCCAAACAAAACTAAAAACAGGGAAAAAGCTTATAAAACTAAGTAGGGATCCAGCATTAACAGCTGAACAGAGAATGCGATTTTTAAATTCTTAGCGGATGATAAAGTTGTGTAGAAACTGAACTCTTACAAATTATTTAAAACTTGGAATCACTGACGAGAAATGACACATTTGGATCTTGGGGAAACAGCAGAAAGAGGTTATGAGTGACCCACACTGTTCTAGCTGCACCCCACGCCCTCCTCAGAGGAAAGCCTGGCATCGATTAGACACTGGGCCAGACTAATCCCGGCGGCAGAACCAGCGATAGTGACCTGCCTACCGGAAGAGCCTTCCACTGGATGGCAGTTTTGATCTGGGGGATCTCATTGATGTCGGCGCCCTGGCGCCCGATCCTGCAGCCGATTAAGTCATTTGGGACGGTGAGTTCAGGGGTTTGAGGAGATGCGTCCACCGCGCCGGTGTCTCCGCCGCCGCCCTCCAGGTGGCGCTGTAGGACCGACCCCCTGTTCCAAAGCGCAGTCGCCTCAACTTGGCCTCCCCCGGAGGCTCTAGAGCACCGAGAAAAGCTAGAGAAGCACTTCCGGGGAGCTGCGCAGGCCGCTACGCGAGCACCGCACACTTCCGCTTCCGGTTCTTGATTCCAGAAGCCGCCTTCTGAGGTCCCTCGCGGCTCCCTGTGGTCTTTGTTGGCGTCCGTCATGGCGTACCGCGGCCAGGGCCAAAAGGTGCAGAAGGTGATGGTGCAGCCCATCGTATCCTACTCAGGATTTCAGGGCCGGGAGGTTCGGGCCAGAAAACGGCCAGAGGGCGGCCGGCCGGCTCGGAGCGGCGGTGTGCTCCTTCCTCCGCATCCCGTGAGCCCGCGCGGCGCCCGAGGCCCGGGAGAGCGCGGGGCGCGGAG